GACTGACCATTTGGAAGCTCGGGCACTGCCCAAGGGCTGGGGGTCACTAGGGGGCAGGGGCGGACTGACAACTAATGGGACCCCCGGGCAATAGGAGATCATGGGGCCCCTGTGTCCTCGCCCACACCCAACAAAAGCCTATGAAAAAGCCAATGAAAAGTACCAGGGGCATCTCATGGGGCCCCCTACTGACCCCAGGCCCTCGGGCAGTGCCCGAGTGCTCAAATGGTCAGTCCGCCCCTGGTAGGGGGCCCCATGAAATGCCCCTGGTACCTTTATCATAGGCTTTTTTAAGTTTGGGCAAGGACACAGGGGCCCCATGATCCCCTATTGCCCGGGGTCCCCATGAGTTGTCAGTCTGCCCCTGGCCTGGGTTCACATATATGCGGTGTGGTATATCGCATGTGCTTCACACAGGAACCGCACCACATTCCTGTGCAAATTACATGCAATTTGTGCGCGGTGCGATTGGAGCCATACATTTTGTGCCCACACCAAAACGTCCAGGACCCTATTTTGGGGTCTGCACTAGAATCGGATCGCATATGTATTCACACCCATGTGATCCGATTCCCAGCCCAGGTTCACATATGTGCGGTGCGGTTTATTGCATGTGGTTCGCACAGGAACCGCACCACCTTCCTGTGCAAATCACATGCGATTTGTGTGCAGTGCGATTGGAGCCATACATTTTGTGCCCACACCAAAAACGTCCAGGACCCTTTTTTGGGGTCCGCACTAGAATCGGATCACATATGTTTTCACACCTATGTGATCCGATTCTGCACATCGCAGCGTGTTATGCAGACCGCTTTCAGGGTGTTGTCAACTTAACATACACCCCCGCAGCGGTTGGCATGAACGGGGTGCGATTCTGATCCGGTGCGGAATTCACACAGAAACCAATGCGAATTCCAGATCTCATCAGTGTGAACCCGGGCAGAGACTCTTGAGAGGAGTACTAAGGCAGGGTGCTGTGATGTTTTCAGGAATCTATGTGCAGCCCCCCCAATAGCTGCTCCCACCAGTCATGATCTGCCTGCATTCCATAGAGCGGCCATCACTAAATGGCAGACCGCCAGGGGCGGACTGACCATTTGGAAACTCGGGCACTGCCCGAGGGCCCGGGGTCAGTAGGGGGCCCCATGAGATGCCCCTGGTACCTTTTTCATAGGCTTTTTTTGAGTTTGGGCAAGGACACAGGGGCCCCATGATCCCCTATTGCCCGGGGGCCCCATGAGTTGTCAGTCCGCCCCTGCAGACCACAGTCCATATCTGGACCGAGTTGCTGTCCTATGCAGACCGTCGGGGTCCCCCCATTTAGGAGCCGGTTTTTACCCCCAAGATTCGGCCCCTGTCATTGTCAGCAGAGTGAAGAGCGGCAGGCTGTACGGTTCTGAATGGCGGGCGGAGGCTGGAGCAGTAGGAGTTAACTTTTCAAGTTAACCAGAAGGTGATTGGTTGCTAGGACACAGGGCAGTCCTAGCAACCAATCATCAGCTTGTGAAGAAGAAAAGATAATTCCGGCTGCTTCCTCTTCCACCCACAGTTGCTGTGAATTGAGGGGGGTGGGATATGAAGGGGGGCTGAGGACACTGCTGTGAATGGAGGGGGTGGGATATGAAGGGGGGCTGAGGACACTGCCGTGAATGGAAGGGGGTGGGATATGAAGGGGGGCTGAGGACACTGCTGTGAATGGAAGGGGGTGGGATATGAAGGGGGGCTGAGGACACTGCTGTGAATGGAGGGGGGATATAAAGGTGGGCTGAGGACACTGCTGTCAATGGAGGGGGGTGGGATATGAAGGGGGGGCTGAGGACACTGCTGTGAATGGAGGGGGGATATAAAGGTGGGCTGAGGACACTGCTGTGAATGGAGGGGGGTGGGATATGAAGGGGGGCTGAGGACACTGCTGTGAATGGAGGGGGGGATATAAAGGTGGGCTGAGGACACTGTTGTGAATGGAGGGGGGTGGGATATGAAGGGGGCTGAGGACACTGCTGTGAAATGGGGGGTGGGGGATATGAAGGGGGGCTGAGGACACTGCTGTGAATGGGGGGGGGTGGGATATGAAGGGGGCTGAGAACACTGTTGTGAATGGAGGGGGGTGGGATATGAAGGGGGGCTGAGGACACTGCTGTGAATGGGGGGGGGTGGGATATGAAGGGGGCTGAGGACACTGCTGTGAATGGGGGGGGGTGGGATATAAATGGGCTGAGGACACTGCTGTGAATGGAGGGGGGGTGGGATATGAAGGGGGGCTGAGGACACTGCTGTGAATGGGGGGGGGTGGGATATGAAGGGGGGCTGAGGACACTGCTGTGAATGGGGGGGGGGGGGTGGGATATAAAGCTGGGCTGAGGACACTGCTGTGAATGGAGGGGGGTGGGATATGAAGGGGGGCTGAGGACACTGCTGTGAATGGGGGGGTGGGATATAAAGGGGGGCTGAGGACACTGTTGTGAATGGAGGGAGGTGGGATATGAAAGGGGGGGGGGCTGAGGACACTGCTGTGAATGGAAGGGGTGGGATATGAAGGGGGATGAGGACACTGCTGTGAATGGAGGGGGTGGGATATGAAGGGGGGCTGAGGACACTGCTGTGAATGGAGGGGGGTGGGATATGAAGGGGGGCTGAGGACACTGCTGTGAATGGAGGGGGGTGGGATATAAAGGTGGGCTGAGGACACTGCTGTGATGGGCTGAGGACACTGTTGTGAATGGAGGGGGGTGGGATATGAAGGGGGGCTGAGAACACTGTTGTGAATGGAGGGGGGTGGGATATAAAGGGGGGCTGAGGACACTGCTGTGAATGGAGGGGGTGGGATATGAAGGGGGGCTGAGGACACTGCTGTGAAATGGGGGGGGGGTGGGATATAAAGGGGGGCTGAGGACACTGTTGTGAATGGAGGGGGTGGGATATGAAGGGGGGGCTGAGGACACTGCTGTGAATGGAAGGGGGGGTGGGATATGAAGGGGGGCTGAGGACACTGCTGTGAATGGAGGGGGGTGGGATATGAAGGGGGGCTGAGGACACTGCTGTGAATGGAGGGGGGTGGGATATGAAGGGGGGCTGAGGACACTGCTGTGAATGGAGGGGGGTGGGATATAAAGGTGGGCTGAGGACACTGCTGTGAATGGAGGGGGGGGGGATATAAAGATGGGCTGAGGACACTGTTGTGAATGGAGGGGGGGGTGGGATATGAAGGGGGGCTGAGAACACTGTTGTGAATGGAGGGGGGTGGGATATAAAGGGGGGCTGAGGACACTGCTGTGAATGGAGGGGGGGGGTATGAAGGGGGGCTGAGGACACTGCTGTGAATGGAGTGGGGAGATATGAAGACTGGGGGCTGAGGACACTGCTGTGAATGGAGGGGGGTGGGATATGACGGGGGGGCTGTGGACACTGCTGTGAATGGAGGGGGGTGGGATATGACAGGGGGGCTGAGGACACTGCTGTGAATGGAGGGGATATGACGGGGGGGGGGGGTTGGGACACTGCTGTGAATGGAGGGGGATGGGATATGACGGGGGGGGGGGGCTGAGTACACTGCTGTGAAAAGGAAACTGTCATGTGAAGGGGGAATTGTGATATGGTGGGATGGGGGGGGGGGGGACACAGAGGATCTGATGAAAGAATGGGATAGTGATTTCAGAGGAGGGGGGAGGGGCTGTGACATGAAATATCTGAGCCGTCACACAAACATGTGATTCTGACCTCGGCTTAAAAGAAAATGGACCTCCATGAATTTTATTCAGTACCCTTGGCATAGAAAAACATAGAGACCCAGTGATGACATTACTGGGTATAAAATAAGGTGTGTATTGAGAATGGAAACATTTTATTTTCAAATGTCAGTATCATGTTGATGGGGGGGGGGACCAAGGAAGAATAAAGTTCAGCTTTAAAGTGTGTATTGGGGGGGGGGGGGGGTATTGTTGGTGTTCCTCCTGCCCTGCACTGACCTCTCACTGTCACAGGGAAATCTCCTCCTGTTTCCTATTACTGACAGTCTTCCTTCCCTGATCTGTTTGTCTGACCTCTCTCCTCCTCTCCCGGCAGGTAGCCGTCACACATCCCGCCGCATTGACCTCCATCTTACCAGAGGTCTGTCTGTCTGCTCCTCATCCGCTTCCTCCTGTGTTCAGGCCCAGATCATCAGGATGACATTTTGGGGGGAAGGGGGGACATGCTGCACCTTGTTTCAGTGCCGAACCATAAAGGGCTGATATGTGTCAGATATTTGTGAATACAGCCAAGAACTGCACAGGCACCAGGATTTACATCTCTGAACAGTAAAAGAACACAAGAGGGCACCAATCTAAGTGCAGTAGATTCACATTATTTATTTAAAAAAGTTATAGCCAATAGCTACTCACAAAGGAAAGAGAATAATAGGCGTGGAGATCAATCCTCCAATTGGCCAGTGTGGGGGGGGGGGGGGGTATCAGTAGGAGCCCGGCCCCAGAGATGGAGCTATCAGTAGGAGCCCGGGCCCCAGAGATGGAGCGGAGAGTGAGATGGAGGCTGGCGCAGTAACCAGAGCAGTGCGCACGGAAGTCCGGACCGAGCAGGCAACCAATGGGATGGCAAGGACAGGTCAGATGGTGTGTCAGGTGACGCGTTTTCAAAGCATCCGCTTCTTCTTCAGACCTCTGATGGTCTCCCTCTCCACCCCATCTCTGGGGCCCGGGCTCCTACCAGGGGCGGACTGACAACTCATGGGGCCCCCGGGCAATAGGGGATCATGGGGCCCCTGTGTCCTTGCCCAAACTCACAAAAAGCCTATGAAAAAGGTACCAGGGGCATCTCATGGGGCCCCCTACTGACCCCGGGCCCTCGGGCAGTGCCCAAGTTTCCAAATGGTCAGTCTGCCCCTGGTTCCAACCATCCCCTGTGCTAATTCCTGGGATGGTTCCTGAGGGTCTGTACACCTGCTGTGCCCATTATGAGGGTTCCCACCATCCCTGGGGAGTTCCCTGTACACCTGCTGTGCCCATTATGAGGGGTCCCACCTCCCTGGGCTGAGTTCCTGGGTCTGTACACCCACTGCGCCCATTAAGAGGGGTTCCCACCATCCCTGGGCTGAGTTCCTGGGTCTGTACACCCACTGCGCCCATTATGAGGGGTTCCCACCATCCCTGGGCTGAGTTCCTGGGTCTGTACATCCACTGCGCCCATTATGAGGGGTTCCCACCATCCCTGTGCTGAGTTCCCGGGTCTGTACGCCCGCTGTGCCCATTATGAGGGGTTCCCACCATCCCTGCGCTGGAATGTTAGTTACTTTATACACAACGTCCTGCACCCGTGGACATCTTTGTCTATGCGTTCTTCCATGCGTTGTGTGAGAGGCAGTGCAGTGTACATCGGGGAATCACCATGTACTAAGTGGAGGTCTCTGAATCTGTCGGTGACAACGTGTTGACACTTTCGGCGGCACACTGATGGGTGGGGTCATCACATATTTACATTGCGATTACCTCCGTGCCCGCCGTCTGCTCTGCAGCGCAGGAGATGAGATGCATCTGGATACAATTCCCTCTCCGTCAGTGATGAGCCATTTCCATGTTCTGTACAGAAGAGGCGGAGCGCAGAGGGAGGTCTTTTGTGAATGGAAAATTGTCGCTCGGCGATTCAAAAATGAAGAAAACAAAAAATGTTCTTCCAGCAGGTGGCAGTAGCACCACTTGAACAGCTGGCAGCCACTGCCGTACCGCCCTCTGGAAGGCAAAACACTGTGAATCGCTTTTCAAAGGGCATTGAGCTTACTGCAAATGTGATCCCTGTGGGTTACTGTTGGTAGAAGCTGAAGCTGACCCACACACAGTACAATCTGATTGTACAACCTCTATTAGATCCAGTATGTGGAGATGCAGTCAGCCATTGCAAGGTTATGCCGCGTGATTGCGTACATTGTGTGAAGCCGGCCCGTAATAATCGCCTGCCGCCGTTCTTCAACATGAGATGTGTAACAAAATGCGTCATTTATGCGGCACTATAAGAAGAAAAAAACAAAAACGGGAAAACTGTTTAAATATTAAGACCCCCATTCACATGTGAAGGATTGGGAATCGCGCTGATTCTGCCCGCATTTCCAAACTGCGCTAAAATCGCGGAAAAATACACAACGTGGGATTGGGCGCCATTCATTCTTCATTATCACCTCAAACACGGGGCGACTTTACTGCGATGGTTGTGTGGCAGAACGTATGTGGAAAAAAATGTGCCCGGCTCAGCTTCTTTGGTGGAATAAACGTACATAAACGTATGCAAATCATGGGGGGGGGGAATTGTGGGTAGGAAAGCATGTAAATCATGGGGGGGGGATTGTGGGCAAGAAAGCATGTAAATCATGGGGGGGGGGATTGTGAGCACTAAAGCATGTAAATCATGGGGGGGGGGATTGTGAGCAGGAGAGCATGTAAAATCATGGGGGGGGGGGGGGGAATTGTGAGCAGGAAAGCATGCAAATCATGAGGGGGGGGAATTGTGAGCAGGAGAGCATGTAAATCATGGGGGGGGGAATTGTGAGCAGGAAAGCATGTAAATCTGGGGGGGGGGGATTGTGAGCAGGAGAGCATGTAAAATCATGGGGGGGGGGGGAATTGTGAGCAGGAAAGCATGTAAATCATGGGGGGGGGGAATTGTGAGCAGGAAAGCATGTAAATCATGGGGGGGGGAATTGTGAGCAGGAAAGCATGTAAATCATGGGGGGGGAATTGTTAGCAGGAAAGCATGTAAATCATGGGGGGGGGGATTGTGAGCAGGAAAGCATGTAAATCATGGGGTGGGGGGGGGAATTGTTAGCAGGAAAGCATGTGAATCATGGGGTGGGGGGGGATTGTGAGCAGGAAAGCATGTAAAAATCATGGGGGGGGGATTGTGAGCAGGAAAGCATGTAAATCAATGCGAATCATGAGGGCGAGGGGGGCGGGGGGATTGTGAGCAGGAAAGCATGTACAAATATATTGCTAAAAAAAAAAAAAAAAGTGGAACTTACTCCAAAACTTCCCACTACTCAAAATGTGAATGGAGCGTCATGAGGATTAGACGAATGAGAATTAAAGGGAAATGGCAGTTAACCACCTTCCAGTCCGGACACTTTCCCCCCTTCCAGTCCGGGACCACTTTCCCCCCCTTCCAGTAACCGGACACTTTCCCCCTTCCAGTCCGGACACTTTCCCCCCTTCCAGTCCGGACACTTTTTCCCCCCTTCCAGTTCCGGACACTTTCCCCCCTTTCAGTCCGTACACTTTCCCCCCTTCCCCAGTCCGGACAACTTTCCCCCCTTCCAGTCCGGACACTTTCCACCCCCCCTTTTCCAAGTCCGGGCACACTTTCCCCCCTTCCAGTCCGGACACTTTCCCCCCCCTTCCAGTCCGGACACTTTCCCCCCCTTCCAGTCATCCGGTCACTTTCACCCCCTTCCAGTATGGACACTTTCCCCCCCCTTCCAGTCCAGGGGGACACTTTCCCCCCCTTCCTGTCCGGACACTCCCCCTCCTTCCAGTCCGGACACTTTCCCTTTCCCCCCTTTCAGTCGGACACTTCCCCCCTTCCAGTCCGGACACTTCCCCCCTTCCAGTCCGGGCACTTTTCCCCCCCTTCCAGTCCGGGCACTTTCCCTCCTTCCAGTCTGGACACTTTCACCCCTTCCAGTCTGGACACTTTCCCCCCCCCCTTCCAGTCCGGGCACTTTCCCCCCCCTTCCGTCCGGGCAACCTCTTTCCCCCCCCCCCTTCCAGTCTGGGCAACTTTCTCCCCCCTTCCTGTCTGGACACTTTCCCCCCCTTCCAGTCCGGATACTTTCCCCCCCTTCCTGTCCGGACACTTTCCCCCCCTTCCAGTCCGGGCACTTTCCCCCCCCTTCCAGTCCGGGCACTTTCCCCCCCCTTCCAGTCCGGGCACTTTCTCCCCCCTTCCTGTCTGGGACACTTTCCCCCCCTTCCAGTACGGATACTTTCCCCCCCCCTTCCTGTTCCGGGACACTTTCCCCCCCTTCCTGTCGGACACTTCCCCCCCTTCTCCAGTGCCGGACACTTCCCCCCCCTTCCAGTCCGGACACTTTCCCCCCCTTCCAGTCCTGGTGGATTTTGGTGGGATTTATTCACCACTGGGATTTTTATTTTTTTTGCTATGTAAATGAAAAAGTCCAAAAATTTAGAAAAAAAGTGTTTTTCTTATAAACTTTTGCAAATAAATAGTATTGGCCAAAATTTATTCCGTTATCTTTTCAATAAAAAAAAATAATCCAAATTAGTTTATAAAACCAAAAAAATTATTAATTTTTTTTTAATTTTTTTACAATTTTTTTTTTATATTATTATTTTATTGTTTTTTGTTTTTTTTTTACATACTGTCACCCTAGCAGTACAGTGTCACCATGGCTGAAAACCACCCCTGCCAAAAACATTGATAGAAGCCTTCGTGTGAATGGACACATAGGACAACACATGCTGGGGAGTTTTACTGGCTGCAGACAAATGCCTGACGCCCAAACACAGCCGCTGTAAAAAAAGTCCCGTGTAAGCAGGAGGACTTGACATTTCCATCCCATTTTTATCCAATCAGACAATATAGTTGTACAATCAGATTTCAAAGTGTATGCTCAGTTATAGAGAGGTAAAGGATGGCTTGGCTTTTTCAGATCTGTGTGTTAGAAAAAGAGATGTCTGCTTCTAAATCTGGTCATACACTGTACAATCTGATTGTACAATCTTCTTCAGATCTACCAAACAACTATGTAGTTCAAGGACCTGCCTGACTGGATATCAGTTGAATTGATTATTTAGATGTGTCCTTATATTATATATTTTACCCGAGCATAGCTGGAACGTGCAATCCCGCTCGTTTGTTTTGCGTGTGTTCCACACATTTAATGTATTCACTTGAATGTGAACAACAAATGCCCCAAAGTATTATTATTATTATTATTATACAGGATTTATATAGCGCCAACAGTTTGCTCAGCACTTTACAATATAAAAGGGAGACAATACAGCAACAATACAGTTCAATACAAGAGGGTGATGTAATTTGGGGCAGAGTTATAAATGGCTTTATATGTTATTGTTAATGTTTTTGAATTTTATCCATTGGGCAATGGGAAGCCAGTGGAGGGATTGGCAGAGAGGGGTGGAGGACACTGAGTGGAGGCCAGTGGAGGGATTGGCAGAGAGGGGTGGAGGACACTGAGGGGGAGGCCAGTGGTGGGATTGGTAGAGAGGGATGGAGGACACTGAGTGGACGGGGATTGGCAGAGAGGGGTGGAGGACACTGAGTGGTGGGATTGGCAGAGAGGGGTGGAGGACACTGAGTGGTGGGATTGGCAGAGAGGGGTGGAGGACACTGAGTGGAGGCCAGTGGAGGGATTGCAGAAGAGAGGGGTGGAGGACACTGAGTGGAGGCCAGTGGAAGGATTGGCAGAGAGGGGTGGAGGACACTGAGTGGAGGCCAGTGGAGGGATTGGCAGAGAGGGGTGGAGGACACTGAGTGGAGGCCAGTGGAGGGATTGGTAGAGAGGGATGGAGGACACTGAGTGGAGGGATTGGCAGAGAGGGGTGGAGGACACTGAGTGGTGGGATTGGCAGAGAGGGGTGGAGGACACTGAGTGGTGGGATTGGCAGAGAGGGGTGGAGGACACTGAGTGGAGGCCAGTGGAGGGATTGGCAGAGAGGGGTGGAGGACACTGAGTGGAGGCCAGTGGAAGGATTGGCAGAGAGGGGTGGAGGACACTGAGTGGAGGCAGTGGAAGGATTGGCAGAGAGGGGTGGAGGGACACTGAGTGGAAGCCAGTGGAGGGATTGGCAGAGAGGGGGGTGGAGGACACTGAGTGGAAGCCAGTGGAGGGATTGGCAGAGAGGGGTGGAGGACACTGAGTGGAAGCCAGTGGAGGGATTGGTAGAGAGGGATGGAGGACACTGAGTGGATGGGATTGGCAGAGAGGGGTGGAGGGACACTGAGTGGAAGCCAGTGGAGGGATTGGTAGAGAGGGATGGAGGACACTGAGTGGAGGGATTGGAGAGAGGGGTGGAGGACACTGAGTGGAGGCCAGTGGAGGGATTGGCAGAGAGGGGTGGAGGACACTGAGTGGAGGCCAGTGGAAGGATTGGCAGAGAGGGGTGGAGGACACTGAGTGGAAGCCAGTGGAGGGATTGGCAGAGAGGGGTGGAGGACACTAAGTGGAGGTCAGTGGAGGGATTGGCAGAGAGGGATGGAGGACACTGAGTGGAGGCCAGTGGAGGGATTGGCAGAGAGGGGTGGAGGACACTGAGTGGAGGCCAGTGGAGGGATTGGCAGAGAGGGTTGGAGGACACTGAGTGGAGGACAGCGGAGGGATTGGCAGAGAGGGGTGGAGGACACCGAGTGGAGGCCAGTGGAGGGATTGGCAGAGAGGGGTTGGAGGGGACACTGAGTGGAGGACAACGGAGGGATTGGCAGAGAGGGGTGGAGGACACCGAGTGGAGGCTAGCGGAGGGATTGGCAGAGAAGGGTGGAGGACACTTAG